GGGGGCTCTTGGCCTTGGCTGGTCTTCGCGGCCTGAAGTTCTTTGAAGGCTTTGACTTTGCTGGCAAAGTGAATCCGGGAGGGGTTGCGCTTGAGTAGGATTGGGTAGGGCTTTTCCAAGAGAAATCTGGCCATGGATTCTTGGAGGATGGAGGGTTGGGGCTTCCTTGAGGCAGGAATGCCCGGAGAAAAGTGATTCCAAGAATCGCCCAGAAATCCTGACTCTCCGGCCCATGATTTTCCTTGCAGGCTTTTCAAATCTGCCTTTTGGGTTTTTAAGGGTTCCCCCTCCCCTTGCAGGAATACAATAAGAGAGCTTTCCTCCCGGGTCCTTCCCTTTGGTCTCCATGGACCTCCAGACTGTAAATTAAACGGGAGGGCGAGCCTGTTCAGCCTTTTTTCTCCCCCCCCCCCTTTTCCTTTTCCTTCCACTTGCCTGATTTAGATGGAGGGCTGTCGTTTTTTCTGATGCAACCTGCCTGCTCTCACAAGGTTTGGGGAAGAAAAAGAACATGGGGAAGAAAGAGAACAGAAGACCCCCAAGAAAGCTGTGCCATGTTCCTGAAATGCACGCAAGGCGCCATTTTAGAAGCCAGAGAATCTCCTTAGCTCCATATTGGGTTTTCTACGACTTTTTGTTTTTCCTCCCCAGAGGTCTTGGTTTCTAAACTTAGAGATGGCGCCTGCCTCCAACGTGATGTTCTGATCTTCCAAGGCTTGTGTTCCTTTCTCTCTCTCTCTCTCTCTGATTTGCAAGCAACAAAGGAAGCTTGTACCTAGAATGGCAAGGGGGTTTCAGCCTTTGGACTTCCTCTCTCTCTCTCTCCTGGACCCCCACCCGGTTCTGCTCCCGTCCTTTCCTTTCCTTCCGAAGGCAACCCTTTCCCAGAAGGGCCTTCCTGAAAGGGTGGTCTGGACAAGGCAACCCTTTTCTCCCTTTTGCCCATCTGGAGTCCTGGTAGGTCGGCAAAACATAATTCGGTTTTTTTCCGTTCTGATGGCCCAGCCATTGGGAAGACTCTCCAGTGGCAGAAGATTAATAAATCACTCTGTTGTAGGCAAAGAGAATGGAGACGGACGGCAGAATGGAGACAGACGGCTGCTGGGGGGAAAGGGAGGAGAGGGGCGGAAAAGGGGGAGAAGAGGAGGAAGAAGAAGAAGAAGAAGAAGAAGAAGAAGGCAACCAGGAAAAGAGCGAGAGTGGCGAGACTTTTATTCTGAAGCCGTCCTTCCTCCTCGTTTGCCTTTTGTTGGGAGCTGCAGCCTAAGCGGCCGACCTTGCTCTGCTCAGGAGGGCTGGGTATAAGATTTCCCTGCCAATCAGGAGCCGACAGATTGGGGCATGATGGTGGAGTGGGAGCAGACGGGGAAGTTTACTTTGCGTTTAAGGGAGGGAGAAAAACATGGAGGTACCTTGCCGGCACAGTGGCTGGGAAAGTAGGGTTGGTTGGGTTGGGTGCCAGAAGCTCCCTTGGGTTGGCCATGGCAGAATGGCTTGGGGGGGCAGAGTGGTGGGGGGGGGAAGAGAGCGCTTGTACATGGATGCCATCCATGGGGTAAGAGTGCTCAAGAGGTCTATTGTTTTCGCTGAATGACCTTCAGGCAGTTGGGGAAACACGGATGCAGCCGATCATTTTTGATCAGTTGAAGAGAGGGGAAGTTGTGCAATCCGTGGCAGGCACATAGAAGGATCAAGTAAAAATGATTCTCTCTCTCTCTCTCTTCTCTGTATTTACACATAGTTCAGAAATTACTATAGAATGATGTTGTTTTCATTTGACCCTTCAAGACAAAGCAGTGGTCTTTTCAACTCTTTTGCTGAGGTTTGGGTTGTAGGATGAAGTGGTTGGAGGAGAAGTGATGGATGGATGGATGCATGGAAAGCAGGAGGGAAGGAAGGAAGGGGAACCTTTGGGACAAATGACTATAAGTCATCGTGGTTCCTGGTTCTGCATCATGTATGAAGCAGCCTTACTACTACCACCTCCTTTTTGTGCAGCTCCAGGGTTGCAGATAGGAGCGGAGAGGTGTTGTGGCTTTGTGAAATGCTGTTTAGAGCATCATCACCTAGCTTTGGTGGAATGGATGGGGAGATATTTTTTAAAAAATGAAAGCTAGGCTGGCAAAGCCTTTGTGTCATTGTATGTGGGTTTTTTTGTAAATTAGATTCTATTGTCATGAGAGCCGACTGACAACAAACACTTTCAGCGTGCGTTCTGTTGAGAGGCCGGTCTGTAGAACAGCAAAGGATCTGCTAGGAACTCAAGTGTAGTGAGTTTTAACTCTGTGGACTGTGTCTTCCTGGACATCTTTCGAGTTCTTTAGCACCAAGCTCAGAGCTCTACTGAGGTGGTTTGATAGCGGTCCTGGCATTCTGCCTTATTTTTCCCTTGCATGTTAAAATAATGGGCACACATTTAGAGAATTGCATGCTTTCTTATGCTAGCTGGATGGAATAGTATGGGTTTCTGGCTGAAGAGCCAGAGGTTAGGAGTTTGATTCCCCCCCACTGGGCCTCCAGGGAGAAGAGCCAGCCTGGGTGGCCTTGGGCAAGCTGCACATCCTCAGAGGAAGAGAAGGGGAAACCACTTTGGCAGGGCTTGAAAATTTTTTAGAATGTCTCACCAGTCAGTCAAAAATTTCACCAGTCAGCACGACCGGACTATAGCCTTGCAATTTATTGGGATTGGGAATCACCGATTTATACTCTCAGACTTGGATTGCTTTATTACCTGCGTGCCTATGGGGTAACGAAGCTTGTATTTTGCATGCCTTTCTTTTGAATGTCGCCAGCAAAAATAAAACTGAAAGCAAAAGCGCCCACCCTCTTAAGGAGCCAGGTCGTTCAGTCGAAACTGGGAGCAGGGAATCTCCATATTCTCCAGCATGGGACTACTTTACATTCTCCTGCAGAGCTATCTCTCTATGTACCCTTTAAACTCTCTTCTCGGGAGAAGAGGGCAGTTTTCCTTTTGCAGTGGGAGGGTGGAGGGGAGGACTGCAGGATGAGAGAGAGAGACAGACAGACAGACAGGAGGAGGGGAAGGAGGCAGGCAGGCAGGGAGGGAGCTGTGACTCGTCAAGCAGCATTTTTTTACTCATCGCAGGGGAGTGGAGGAGTGTATTTTTCAAGGCCTGCCCTTTGGAGTACTCTGTACCTGGGAAACCTGGGAAAGGGATTGCCATAAGTTGGAACTGACTTTATGTTGTTGTTGTTGTTGTTAACGTTAATGCTCTCTTGATGAGAACCCATCCTGTGGATCCTTGCATTTGTTTCCAGCTTTTGTCTCTGGAACCACTTTAAGAGTATTGGTGTCTTTATTGAATCTCACAGTTGATCGTCTTACGTTGTCCGCTGTAGGACTGAAGGACTGGTGGCTTTCCAGATCTTCTGAGAGTCTAGTTCTCATTATTTCAGTGCCAGAGCCTGTGAAAGATTTGTACTCCATCATCAGCATTTGGGGAGGACGCAACATTTGTTTCTCCCCCTAAATGGGCAACCATTCTAAGGGGCTAAGGCAGAGACCTTGTTATAGCCCATACTTGGCTAAGCAGGCTGAAACAGACAGCCATAACACAGGAGGCGGCCTACTGTCAACTTTAAATCTTTCCTCAAATCTGTTCTAAAAACCCATGAATATGTTGTAGCCCATGAACGGGGGTCCTGTTGGCCTGCAGACAGGCTTGCCTTAAATGCCTGTTGGTCTTCTCTAGTAATTAAACAGCCAACAGATTAAGTCAAGAAGCAATAACAGGCCAAGGAAAACGTGCTCAGGCATCTCGCTGTCAATCTCTGGAACCCATTTCTATAGGAAATGGCAGACGTCCTTTGTTAACAGGTTTGAGAAAAAAGGGAGAAAGACGGAGTTGGTTGGGGGGGGGGAGAAAACAGGTAAGTTGTAGTTGTTCCTAACCGGTACATTGGGTTGACCCAGTGATGGTGTGTGGTGTCTGGAGATCCAAGGCAAAGGGAGGAGGAGTGCGTTGTGTGGCATTTGTTCTTATGGGGTGTGATGACGTTTTCCCATCATCATGGATGGTGATGTTTCCGGGCTCCCCAGGAGCCTCTCGTTGGCCAGTGTGTGGGCCAAACGTTGGACTAGATCAAGTGGAGATCTGGTTCCGCCCCCTCTCTTCTTAATGGACCTGCTTGTGAGAAGACAAGTTTGTTGGTAGAGAAGGCCCACGGCGACCTGTTGACTGGGAGGAATTCTGGAGGGACCTTTACCTTTAGAAAGACTCCTGGTCTCCTTGTGTTAATAACAAATACGGGGATGTTTGTACAGAATATGGTCAAAGCACAAGCAACCTCAGCCTCTTCCTCCAAATTACTAGTTTAATTTTTTTTTTAAAAAATTTAAAACGGGAGTTTTAAATGCCCGAAGATGCCGTGCTGTGCACCCTCAACACCTTAGAGGGAACGTTGCTGCAACCCCACGCCTTAGTCTTGTAGGTTCGTTGCTCAAGTAGGTCTGTGGAATTGGGCGAGTCAGCTGCTCCGTAAGTTCTGTCGATTCAGTGGGCCTCCTTTAGTTGGGACTTACTGTGCTAAGCCGCAGGATGTCAGCCCACGTACGGAGAGGGCAATTCCACCTGCAGTTCACAATCCATGCGTCTCGATGGCTTTAGGAGTTCTGTTGGTTCCCTGGAAATTCAGCCCAGTTCAGTTTTGTGGAAGAATCTTCCACCTCTTTTTGAGACAGGGCAGATTTTACACATCGATGGTCCCTTTTTAAAGATGTTATCGCCTACTTCTTTGCTTCACAACCTTGGTTCCCAAGATGCTTTTTGGACTAGAACTCCCAGAAGCTTTCGCCATCAGCTAGCTCTACTGGCCGGGATTTCTGGGAGTTGTAGTCCAAGAACATCTGGTGACCCAACGGTTGGGAGCCACGGATCTGTAGTTCCTCCTCTGGGCAAGGTTTGGAAGAAAGCAAATCTGACTCCGTGGCCTTCCTTGATGATGTCTGAACTTGTGATTTTTCTCCCCGTCTTGTTTAGCGAGCCCTTATGAGCCAAGGAGACGCCCGGAGAGACGCCTGCATGAAGGCTGAGCTGTTGAAGGACCTCACCAGCAGCCAGGGGGAAGGTGAGTCCCGGGCTCCACCCTTCCTTCCAACGGAGGTGGCTGGACTGGACCCTCCTGTCGGTGTAGGGGCGGCGAGAAGGTTTGTCAAAAGGAAGTTTGATTCGGTGCAGTTTCTGGAAGTTCAGGACGGAGGCGGAACTGGTTTGAGCCGGGCTCCGCAGCCTCTCCTTTGGAGCCACTGGGTTAGACCCAAAGCTCACTAAATGGCTCCTGCCTGGAAAGGTAGCGAAAGGGTCTCTTGGTCCTAAAGCAGGGGATGATTGGCTTTGAGGTTCTGAGGGTCGGTTGGAGAGTTTTGGCATAGACTGCTTGAAACAATGCCCCCTGTAAAATGGAACCGGAAAAATCCTTGCCTCGTTTTCTAGTTCCCTCGTAAAGTCGGTGCTGTCTCTCCTTCTAGACTGCCCCGTTCTCGAACGCAACTGTTCAGGTGCACCGTGGGCCATGCTGGTCTGCGCCATGTTACGCCATGGAGACTCCCCTGTTTAAAAATTAAAAAATCAGCCATGTCTTTTTCTTGTGGCTTTCCCAATTCGTTTACCAGCTGGCACCATCGTGATGCCGAGGAATCGTAAGGAGTAGCAACTGATCGCCCTGCCTGCCCATAACCTCCCTTTAAAGCTTTCCCACCTGCTCCTGGGCTGGCTTAGTGCCAGTTGAAGTTTTTAAAATTTGCCTGTGTCCTGTCCTTTTGTGAGGACGTTGTTTGTACAGTACCAAAGAATACAACCACGACACTAAAAGTCTGGAATAAATTATGTCAAGACGAATCAGAGATGAAACTGAGCTAGGCAATAGCGATGGGACATTCGTAAATGAATATAAATATCCCAGACCCAGGGTGGCTGAGATCTCCAGTCCCTCCTCCCTGAACCGACTCGCCGCTGCGCCGGACACGTGCTGCTGGCATCCTGCTCATTGGGCCAACTTCTGACAAAGCCCGGCTGGCGCTGCGTTGCCTTCCTGCTCTTCTGACCGCTCAGCGGCTACGCGGAGGGACTCGTCATCCCTCCCCGTGGCTGGAGTGGCCAGAAGAGCTGGAAGACAGAAGACGTGTGACAGCTGGGCTTCGTTGGAGGTTGGCCCAACGTGCAGGACGCCAGCTGCAAGGCGCGGCACCCCACGAGGGGACGAGTCGGTTCAGGAAGGCGGGACTGGAGATCCCAGCCACCCTGGGTCCGGGATATTCTTGCTCGTTTACGAATATCCCATCTCTACTAGGTAAGGTCGAGTCACCCAAAGCTGTAAAAAGGTTGTCGTTAGAAGCCTCCGATTGGACCTGGTTTTGATAAGAGCTGCCAAAAAACGGCGCTGTCCCCTTAATCGGCAAGAAGGAAGGGAGATGTGCAGAGTACGTGAGGGCCCCGGAAAGGTCACCAGCGAGTGACAGGGTGAGGACGAACTGATTTGTTTCAGACCCCAACTTTGCTGCCCTTCCTGTGTTCGCAGCTGGGTTCCCAAAGGGTTCAGCTGGGTTCACCTTTCAGACAAACAAGCTGGAATCGCATTGGTGCTGACGGGTGGTTTGTGTGATTTCCATGGCTCATAGCCAGTGGGCAGAGTGCTGAGGCCCATCTCCATTGCGCTGTTGGGCTTGCGGCTGGGCGTGTGGCCACGACACACCCAGGTACCTTCTTAATTAGCTAGCATTCGCCTTGGCAAGTAATGCCCATCCTTATGTAGACCCTGGTAGGATTCTGGCCAGTGAATACTGAGAGGAAATGGGGGTCAAGTCTTCAGAGATCAGCACCCAAATCCTGTGATTTTGAGCTGGGGCCGTCCTATTAAATTGGCATTTTGTTTCATTGTGTGAGCGCAGTTGAGGTTTGTGGCTGAGCCTGGGATTTTTACAAGACGTTTTGGTTTACCCATCTTGTAATTCTTCATTCTGAGAGTTCTGCCTGGGCAAATCTAGAGCTGCGGGCCCCTGACTGAGCTAGCAGTGGGGCCGCTTCTTTTCTGGAAGTTGGTGTGGAGCTGGGCCTAGAAGCCTTCCGAACTGGGCCTTTCCTCCAGGTGAACCACAGTTGTCATCCAAAAAACTTCAAGAATCCCATGCTTATTTGCGATGCCTTTTGTCTTTCCTCTGTATCAATTTCTCTCTCTCTCTCTTGCTCTCTAGGATTTAATGCTATGGCCACAGATGAGAGTGCCATAGAGAAGCAACTTGGGGAAACCAAGATGGCCCCCGATGGCGAAACCAACGGCTCTTGTGAATGCAGCGAAGCCAAGACCCACCCAAATGCAGCTAAGAACACTCAGGACCACACAAAAGCGACCCAAGGGGACTCAACAACGGCCAAGTGGGGCCGGATAGCAGAGAATGGCCTTTCCGAGAGAGACAGTGACGCTGGGAGACAGAACCACACCCAAATGAATGACTTCACACAGACTTCTGTCACGGGAAGCAACGGCTACGTTTTGCCTAAACCGATGGCTCAGGAGTTGCCCGCAAGGACTACCAGCGGGACGTTTGCTTCCCTCGCCGGCCACGCGGCCAAAACCTTCCCTGCTGCGGGAGCAGGAGCAGGAGGCAAGGGGAGGATGCTGAGCGCCTTTTCCCAGGCGCAGGCCGGTTCTACGCCGCCCAAACTTGGGGAGGGTGGCAGAGACGGCGAGGTGAAAAAGCCTTTGTCGGCGCACAGCAACGTGAAGATCCACAGAGCGCGGAAGACCATGCCCAAGTCCCCAGCCAGCTTGGTAAAGTATCCCCAAAAGGGAAACCCTGGGGGCTCTGTTTGGGCAGATGTGGTGGGAGGCGGGAGCTCTAGCACGTGGAGAGCGAGAGCATGTTGGACCCCTGCCGGTGGCCGCTTCCCTCGCCTGGGAGGCTGATCACGTTCAGGTAACAGACTTCACCTCTGTAGTCCCACTTCAGTACTAGGGATGGTTGGCTCTCAATAAGATGTTTACCCATCGACCCGCAGGCGCCCAACCGATGTGGGCCAGGGGGAGGAACAGGGGGAGCCGGAGGTTCTTTGCCCCAACCCATTCTGTCGTCATGAATGCTGCCCCTTCGCGATTAGGCGGTGGATGAGACAGAGGCGGTGGCGCTTCCAGGGTCTCCTTCGGAGCTGTGGAGCGTTGATCCGTGCGGTTGTTTCGATCGTCAGCTCCTGGAAGTCTCTACCGAATTGTAGTCTACGTAGGCCCAAGATCTCTCACTCCCCTTCTTAATAAGAATTGATGCTGGAATATCTAGGTACCTGCACTATTTCTGGAACTTGCTTTCTTTTCATCCGGTGAAACATGGCCTTTGCCGTTCAGGTGTCATGTTTTCCGCCGTTCGTCTTTTTCTCTAAATGACAGAGCCGGTGCCATGTGTGATGGATAAAGTCTCGGAGCTGAACTCTGTGGCCTGGGTTCAGTCTCCGTTTGGCCGTGGAAACTCACTTGAACATGGCAGTCTTAAACCACTCCTTGAACATGTCACATACCTAGCAAACTACATGAGGGTCACCATGAGTTGGAAGGGACACAGCAGCACATAACAAGAAGAGCAGCGGAGTGTTTTAGGAGAAACTTGGTGCGCTGTGGGAATCATGAGGACGGGAGGATGCTTTGTAATATTCTATCCGCTTTGCTTTCATAAAGATCCATTGCCAGATCCTTCAAGTTGGCAGTTACACGGATGAATGCATGTCTGGTGGGAGCAAATAAAAAATAAGCCAGAATCAAATAGTATAAATCTCAGCAGCAGATTGCTAGTAGTCAAGAAGTTGACTGTTGCATTCCTTGTCATGCACCAGCCATGCAACTGGCCCACAAAGGGGAATGCAAGCATTGACTTCTAAAGTAGTGGCGATTTGTGGCTACGATTCATGCTAGCAAGTGTAAGTAATAGAATTCTAGGCTAGTCGATTAATACTGTAGATGAATAGGAATAAGTAATTAACTCTGAAAAAAAGAAAGTTGTTTGGCAAGTGTATGTATGTTTATTTTAAACATCCATCTGTCTGTCTGTCTGTCTGTCTGTCTGTCTGTCTGTCTGTCTATCTATCTATCTATCTATCTATCTATCTATCTATCTATCTATCTATCTATCTATCTATCTATCTATCTATCTATCTATCTATCTATCTATCTATCTATCTATCTATCTATCTATCTATCTGCAATGGTGCCTTGCTTAACGGGCACGCCGTTTGACGACGAAATCGCTAGACATCGATGTTTTTGCGATCACCACAATTTCTGTTTGTTTTGCCTGGGGGAACAACACCAGATGCGCTCCTGCCAGGAGTGCAAGAGATTGACCAGACTTGCCCTTAAGCTTCGTTTGCAGCATCTTCGGTCTTTTCTCTGGGAGAAATCCCTGAGGCCTTTGATCTCGAGATCACCATCTACTATGGAGCCTACCTTAACGCCGGTCCCTCGGTCTGACCCAGTAGACCAACCCTTGGCGCCAGTCACACT